TGCTGCTTCTTTTTTTTTTTTTTTTTTTCTTTTTCCTCCTGGTTTTAGTGATTGAAAAATTTGACTACGTTTTCCCTGAAAACGGTCTTGTGGCGTACAAAGACGGGAAGTTCTTGAGCAAGCAGGTATGTTTGAAGTGCCGGGTAAAGTGGGAACATGTATCCAAGCTTCAGCTCTCCTGCCTCAGAGCGGCCCTTGGAAATGATCCCTTGGCGGAGGCCGACGCTGCTGTTACTTCTGTAACAGACCCTTCCTTGGGATCCCCGACTTGTGCAGTGACCATCTTCTCCTCAAGCTTCCTTCCGGGGATGCTCCCAAAGCCATAAGCTGTTGGGAGTAACTGGCCACGTGAGAGCAGTGGAAATCCCGGAGCAGCGTTTCCGCCTCCATAGGCCTCTGCTCCCACAGCTCCCGGGGAGCTGCTGCCACGGATGATGCCTGTTGCCTTGGGCCTCATCAAGTTCCTTTTCTCTCTTGAGCTGCTCCTTACACTTAATTCAGGAGTGCACGTTCTGATGAACAGCCTAAGGTGGACCCTGACCAGTGCAGTCATTTCCAGTTCTTTGGAATAATGAGATCTCCATTGCTTTGTGCTTGGCTGCAGTAGACATTAACTGTGACTTTTCATTTAGGTCTATGTCTCTGGCCCACAGAACTGTATGCCTGTATGGAACATGTTAAATAACAGTTCGCTGTTACAGTTTTAAAAGAATAGGAGCCCATAGTCAGCATCACCTATTTCTTGAAGCCTTGTTTTTCCCCAGTACTAACCGTGTCTGAGTGTCCAGTATCTGTTTTCTCCTCTAAGATGACCTGCTTTAGAATCTCAGCCCGTGAGCCCTTGGCTGAAACGTGTTTCTTCTGCTAGAGCATTCAGGGCCACTTGGGTGAGGACGTTCTTCAAGATGTCATCAACTACTGCCTGAGCTACATTGCAAAGATTAAACTGCCAAAGAAAAGGTATGTGCATCTCCGTGTCACCTTATCCTTGGAGTTAGTGTTGAGCATCAAAACATAAAGCAGACTCTTGATTCATCAGAAGAAAAATATTTTGTGTGTGAGGAATGCATAGGTGACAAAGGATTACAAGTTGTGTTTTTATTCCAGAGCTGTTTATTTTCCATCTTTCTGGCTTTTCACAGACAATGATGAGGATTTCAAATAGGACTTGAAATCCTTATAAGTTTTTCTTGAGAAGAAAGGGAAATTAAACTTTTATAGGAAAATCATTCCCTTGGTGTGTTTGGAATTCAGCAGCGTGGTGGTTTCCGTATAATAGAAGTTTGCAGTAAGATCGGTTCTGTGTGAGATATTAATGCATCCTTCGTGCGAGGCTACTTGGATGCTTTAAACTTTGTCCTTTCACCCCAGACCTAGAAGACTGGCCTCTGAGGATGAAAGTCACATTGACAGGATGCTCCAGTTTACTTTTAAAACAGAATAGGGCCATGTTGAGGCCGCTGGATTCACATAAAAGTGCAGAAGACCTCTGGTGCCAGAGGTCCTGATGCTTTTTCATGCATACAATGAGAGGCTAAAGGAGACCTGCAATTCCCATTGTCTTTAGAATTAAACAAAACTTCTTGTGATACCCAATAATCCGAGCTATTTTTTCATGTTTTCGCTCTTGCTAATCTTTTTTTTTTTTTCCCCCAGGGGTACTTTCATTGAGTTCCGAAATGGGATGTTAAATGTGTCCCCCATTGGAAGAAGCTGCAGCCAGGAGGAGCGCATTGAGTTCTATGAACTTGATAAGGTAAGTTACAGCTCTTGGAAATACATGACTCTTCTGAGCGAGGCAGCTATGCTCAAATTATGGTTTTAAAGAAGCATTTGCATTTTGTCTGATTTTGCATTTTAATTCTTTCCATGTAGCTGAACAAACATCAGAGTTCAGCCTTCAGGAAATAGCTCTCTGGAGCAAGAGTAGTGATTTGCAGGAAGGTTTATTCCATTTGTTTCTTCATTCCTCTATGCAGAGTACTGGATTCCCACTTCGCATAAATCAGGAACTGGAGAGGAATCTCTGCTTACCCTTCAGTGTCCCGGCTTTTGTTCTGTGCACACCAATAAAATTATTCCCTTTCTTGTCAAATCCTTTAAGTTTTTTGAGCAAAATTTAAAAGCCTTGATTGAACTACCTTTTATCTCCCCTTTACACTGCAAACTATGCAAGATTGAAATGAATCTGAGCCACGCTACCTGATTGATGTTTTGGTGCCTCAATTTCCTCCCCTGTAAAATTGAATTTTACCAGGAGATAAGCTGACTTTATTGGTATTTTAAGATTTTTGGATAGAAACGTGGATATCACAGTATGTATGTTGAGTTTGGCTCTCATTATTTTTTACAAGTTGTTAATAGATGTAGAGATATTCTCAGCATACTTAAAGTATTAATAGAATATAGCTATATAGCACTGTTTTTTTTTTCAAATCATTGAAATAACAGCACGTAATTGACTCTTTTCCTCCTGAACAGAAGGAACATATAAGAGAGAAATTTGTAGCTGATTTACAAAGAGACTTTGCAGGAAAAGGCCTCACGTTTTCTATAGGTAACTCATTTAAAATAATTTCATTTAAAACAATTCATTCAAATTACATTTAAGATCATAGAATCATAGAATGCTTAAGGTTGGCAGGGACCTCTAGAGGTCATCTAGTCCAACCCCCTACACACGCAGGGTCACCTAGAGCACGTGGCACAGGACCATGTCCGAGTGGGCTTTGAAGATCTCCAGAGAGGGAGGCTCCACAACCTCTCTGGGCAAAGATGAATCATGTTCTCATAGATGTGATATAACCTCTCATTTGTATGACCGTTCTCACTGTGGGGGTTGTTGCTGGCCCTGCCTGCAAGATTAAGCTATTTTTTTTCCTTTTAGTCTGTTAGTCTGTTTCCTTTAGTTAGTAATTTTTAATTGAAATCCATCAACAAAGAGAACTGCATTGCTTGTCATTAGTTGATGGTCTTTTAAAGTCAGTTATGTGCCTGGTTTTGCTCACTTTCAAAACCCATTGCATACTTCTGATTAGTCAGAGTTTCTTCTGCTAATCAATTATGATCAAAAATACTACATGAAACTGTTTCAGTAGCCCTTAGCTTGTCAGATCCCTGTGTGGGGGAAGAAAATCCAAAAGCAAATGCAAAGAAAAAAAATTTTGTAGTCTTGCAGTAACATTTTTGTGACTTCAACAAAGTTCTTCCTCAATTGTTCTCTTTTTCACAAATAGGGTCTTAAAATGAAATAATTTGCTTGGTTTGTGTCTCTCTTAGGAGGCCAGATAAGCATTGATGTGTTTCCAGAAGGCTGGGATAAGAGGTACTGCTTAGGAATTGTTGCCAAAGATGAATACAAGACTATTTATTTCTTTGGAGATAAGACTATGCCAGTGAGTATATTGTTTTGTACATACATTTCAGAGCTGCTGCTTTAGACCACAAGCCACACAGGTTCTAATCAATTAAAGATTGCCTGGGCAATGGGCCTAATTGTGAGGGATTGCCCTGAGCATGGATTGCGGTTCTCGTCTCTGAACACAGAGTTCTTCACAGGGTTAATACTGGAATATATCTGAAAATCCTGTAATTAGATTAAAAACCTAGGTGGCTTGACTTCATATAATCTGGATGGTGGTTGAGAGTAGTTGGGTAGAAGGATGTTTCTTGCTGGCTGGTGATTAAACACTTCAATTTTTCCATTGCATTTGAAAATGCTTTTTTGCCTGTACATTCAAGAACTGAAATTATCCCCCTCCCTGGTCCGTAGAGAGACCTAGAGTAGGCTGAAGGCTTCTGCAGGGTGACCCAGAGATGCTTGAATATGGAGCAGAGAATGGACTAGGATTAGCAGAGGGAACAGCATCCATAGGCCTTGCTTGATATTCAGGCCCTAACTACCGCTAAGGGGCTGCCCTTCAATAGCAGACAAAGTTCTCCATGAAAAATAAAAAGCTTTCTTTTTTTTTTTTTTTTTTTTTTTTTTTTTTCTTCTCCTTGGCACTAGGTGCAAAAGCAATACCCGTCTCTCTGGCAAGGCGCTGATGGACTAGTTCTAAACCCTGTAAATGACAGGGCAGCATTTTCAGAGTTTCAAGGCAGCAAGAGTTGCTCTTGACTCACTGGAAAGCAGGGAGTGAGTGATGGAAAAAACAGCTATTCTTGTTTCCTGCAGTGCATGAACTTCTTTCAGGGCCCTCTGCTCTTGCAGGTGGCTCCCTGGTTCACTGAACTAACTGTGAAGGAACCTTTTGGCACTCCTGTAATTATTAACCAACTACAAATGTCACGTCAGACTCCGAGACAACAAGGACAAAACAGGGACAACAGTGTTAGCACAGGCTTAGCTGACAGGAAAGAAAACAACCTGGAAGGAAGAGGATAATGCAACGGAGTTGCAAATACCATGTGCTGGTATCATTATCTGTAACAAGTTTTACACCTTAACATTAACAGGGAAGCAAACAAGAATTAATCCTGTGCTGCTGTATGAAAGCAGCAACATAAACTAAACTGCTGCAGACTTCCTGGCAGTGGCTGGTGCTCTGCAGAAGCCTCAGCAGAGGCTGGCACAGACACATGGTGCAAACGCTCAGCACTGCCTTGACTTGGTGCTTGGCAGCTCTCGGCCTCCTGGAAGGCGGCGTCGCAGCGACGGGGCAGCAGCTGCTGCTGTTTGCAGGAGTTACTGCCTCTCAGAAACTAACCTGAAGAAAAAAAAAAAAAAAAGGATTTCTGAAGCTTTTAGAATAAGATTTGATCCACCCCTGCAAAATTTTGTTCAGTTCTGCTAGCTACTTCATTAAAAAAAAATATATATATAGGCTGCTGCTGGTTGTGTATACTATGATAAGGACAGGAAAGACTGTTTCATCAGGATCCTCTGACTAGTAACCACTTCCAAATGCAATTTCCACTTGGTAGCCAGCAAGGCGACAGTGTTCTTAGGTGGCTGCAACCATCTCCATGCTGTGGTTCAACTGAACCTACGTTTCAGTTGCCGGGAGGCTGCTTCCAAGGCGTCCCCATGGGTACTTCATGACCAGCCTTTAAGTCTGGGGTTAATTCAGACTCTTTTCAGAATCTTTCCCCAACTATCTATGTACTGAGCTGAAGAATATCATGTCTTCATCTGCTTTTTTTTTCTTTTCCTCTGTTACAGGGTGGAAACGACTATGAGATTTTCACAGACTCCAGAACAGAAGGCTACAGCGTCACATCACCAGAAGATACAAGGAGAATCTGCGAGGAACTATTTTTTAGATGAAAGACTTTTTTACATGTCACACTTACAAAACAGTTAAGACAGGCTAGTAACTCAAAAAAAATTTCTTCATTCTGTGCAATCTTTCCTAATTGGTCAGAAAAGGCAAGTACTTTGTGCATCAGTCATTACTGGAAGTGTTTTTGAGTAGAACCTTCCTGACTGTAGAGTAGAACAGAGCTTCTTTGGGATCATCCTTTCACAATTTCCATTGGCACAAATACGCTGTTTTCTTTTGGATGGGTTGTTATTTGAGTCACCAGTCCAAAAGACTATTGCCTCTCATCTATTTCCCTGCAAGTGTTACTTTGGGAAGAGCAGTCCCCATTTCTCAGAAAACTCCATGTTTCTGGACAGACCACCCCACAAGCTCCTTGAGTGTAGATTAATTGCTAATTTAGCAGGGGCTACAGCTCATACCCGTGACAGTATAAAAGGCTTTGAAATCTGTATATGAAAAGACAGACAACTGTGGCTTTCAATTCTGATAACATTTATTATAGCCTTCCTTAGCTAACAAATTACTTTTTGGGGTGGGGCGGGAGGGGGAATATTGCTCTGTATGTGATTAGTGGCTGCCTTGAAATTGGCCTGCAAATTTTTATGCCTGGTTTTGATTTTGAAGCTGCTATTTAAAGATGATGAAAATTTTAGAGTACCTTTTTTTAATACTATGTTGTCCTAAAACTCATGCATTACCTGTCATCTGGGATTTTCCTCCTGAGCAGTGGGAGACAGGTTTCCTTTCCTTCTGGAAGGATTGAGCCTAGAGTCCCTGACCTGGCACACTTGAATTGAGGCCACCACCGCAGCAAAGATGCTGGAGTGACCTCCCAAAATAACTGTGCTGCCAATGCACAGTACAAGGAACGGCACCTTTGCTGTTTGCAGACTTTTTTAATCAACAATTAAAAAAAATACCATTAAGCAAACTTAAGCACGATAGTAAAATTTCTTTTTGTCATCATGTTAAGACTTCAAGGGTAAGTGAAATTTTAGTGCCAAGTTTGGGGAAAAAAAAAAAAAGCCTCAAAACTTTCAATTAAGATACAAGTTTAAGCTTAACAATCACTGTAACTGTTAATTATCTGACAATAGGAAAGTAGCTTGTGGGTGAATAATTTACTTTAGAAAATGAAAATAAAAGTATTTTATTATGTAAAATGCACTGTTGGAAACAACTTGTCATTTTGGTAAATTAAAAAGCAAACCAGACCTGGGGGTTCTGTGTTGCCCCTTGGTACAGTGAAATGACTGACTTGAATCTTTCCAGTTTCAGGTTTGCATAATGTTTCTTTCTACAGCTAAAAAAATGGGACTAAACACACAAAGGGCTCACAGAAAAGGAGAGCAGGGGGTGATGGCCTCACATCCAACCTTCTAATGCTTCTCAGGTGCCTGTTTGACCCCAGTATCTGCACCTTGCTGAACTGAGAGTACAAGGATTTTAATGAAGACGAACTTTAGATCTGGAAAGATGTTTAAAGATGGTCCCAGTGCAACATCTCTGTGCGTGGGTACATGCACATGTGTATGGATGTGATGCATCTAACTATGTGATTCCTTGCTCCTCAGTGGTTCCTCTTTTTGCAGAAACTCACCTTGGAAAACATCCTGCACTGGCTGAAATCCAAATTTGTTCTCAAACTAAAATGTGCAAATGTTTATGCCTCCATACATACAAACCTTAAACTGCAGCCTTTGCTAATAGCTGAGGTTTACCTGCTGTGTCTTGCACAGGGTGCTGATGGAGAAACAAACAAAATGCTTCTGCAAAAAATAATACATAAATAAATCCACGGGTGTTGTTTCTACCTTACTGCTCCTTCCCAAAGCCATGTGCTACTGCAAAATAAACTTGTCTGTGCTGAAAAGCTTCTGCCCTTAAGCGTTTTCCTTTGTGGCGGCTGTCAGTGCTCCCCATCTGTTGTCACCAGTGTGAATGTAGAAAACCCCACAGCAAGCACAGCCCTTCCTGCCCCTGAGCCCCACAGGGGTCGCTTGGGCCTGGTTCCCTGCCCCAGGGCTCAGCTGCAACCGCCAGGCCCTCCTCCCTTGTGCCCCCTTCTCCGCTTACATAAATAATATCTAATACAAAGTAGTATCTAATGGAAAGAAATGGTTTTAGATATATAGTAACAGTATGTATATTACTATAATATATAAAATACATAGTTATTCATGTATATATTTCTATATATTATTACTATGCAGTGGAATATATATTGCTGTATATCCTACTCTATTACTATAACATTATACATTACACAGTCTACGTTAATATATTAAGCAGCTAAAAAAACTCATAAAAATGATGTCCCAAGTATTCTGGTAATAACAATCCATTGATATTGCAAAGCTTTTTTTAAATATATATTTCTGTATATGTCTATATATAGGTGTGCATATGCAGGTACCTACCACCTCGTCCATCTCTAATCTTCAACGCTGAGTTTGTACAGAGCAGATTGAAGACAGGTATTTAAAGCATTATAATGCTAGCATTTATTGCAAAGGAAGCAGTGTGTGATACCCTCCAAGACAGGGAATGTTGAGCCCACTACACGAAAATCTTATATTGTTTTAAAGAACAAACAAGAGATGCTTTAGTGTAATACCAACACACCTTCAGGTAAAATCAACTGTGGCAATAATTACTAACCTTCATAATCTGCTCTCTGCTGCTCAGCCCTCCTTGGAAGAGATTGTCTTCTGCTGTGAAAGAGTCTGAAGCTACTTCATGACACTGCAAAGGCTGGTTGTTAACAGTGTAGGCAGGCAGCTGATATTACACTGTTTCACGCAACTAACAGAAGAGAATATAATGCCATTTTTTTTTTTACTATTTTTTTTTTTATTTGCAAAGTCAATAAAAATTCACTGTGAGGAACATAACAGAGAAAAATGCTTCACGTGGAAAGCTGCCCGGCGAGCGAGCAGGCTCAGAGCTGACAGAGCGACACGAGCGGGGCAGCGGGAGGAGGCAGCGCAGGGCCCGTCCACGCGCTCGCGCTCCACGGCCCAGCCCCTGCGGAGCCGCCTCAGCGGCGCCTGCTCCGCAGCTCGCGCAGCCTTCACGCGGCGCCTGCGCAGCTTGCCCGTCAGAAACACGTTGGCTTTGTCCTCCCTTCTCCAACTGAAAATACACGTGCATCAGCTCTATGCAAGCAATGGTAATGGTCAGCTTTGTGTAAGTTCCACCACAGTCAGAAGCTATTAAGTCTTCACCACTCTACTAAGCTCTACTGCTTAGCTTGAAGCCACCAACCATTTTTTTGTCTGTTTGTTTGAAATCATTATTTTTAAAGTACTGGCCTATAAAATCTGTTGCTAATCAACCACGAAGGCACCAAAGTAAATTCACAAACAATCCAGGCTTTAAAAAACCCACAATATTCCACACGGAAGCAGACATAATTTGAGAACATTGCACCTGAGGGGCAACTGGTTGTTGCTGTCAGAACTGCCAGGGCCTAACAAGCAGAGAGAGGTTTTCTACAGGGTGGCAGTGACTCAGATTGGGAACGTCCTTCCATAATGAACAACTGAAACAAAAAAATCTCTCTCTCTCAAGCTGTTGTGTCCAGGCACTGTTACCAGCAATGAGGCCCAGAAGTGCCACCCAAGGGAACACCTACCAGCTCACGCACCTACAGCACCTTCACGCTGGGGCTTGTTCCTGCTCTAGGAAAATCTTCCTTGAAATCTCCCCCCAAGTCAGCCAGCATTTACTGGAACCAGTTCACAAAAATTAAAAAATAAACAAAAGAGAACATAAACATGGCAACCCTCCCCCCCAAAAAAGCACACAAACTAGGTCTCTTTAAAATACAGTTTTGTAAACACATTTATATATATATATATTTTTTTCATTAATATTTTGGGCTGTTTTCTTAAGTATCTCTCCCTGCCACCTCAGGAGCTGATGACGTGGCCTGACCAGGTCTCGTGCTTGGTGCCGGGCGCCAGGTGGGTGATGACCACCTCCACCGCCTGCAGCTTCTCGTTCTTGGGCGGGATGCTGCACATCTTGTAGGTGACTTCATCGCCCGCCACGGGCACGTACTCGCCTTCAATGCTGCGGAGGGGGAGCGTCGGTTACCCACAAGGCGCAGGAGCACTGACCTGTTCCACAGTTTTATCACAACGAATATCACACACATACGTGCTCAAGAGACTTCAGTTTTCATCAGAGCTGATCAGCTGCCAAAGCTGAGGCTGATTTTGGCAGCACCATCATATGTGATCACTACACACAGCACCAACACACAACCCCCAAATTAATTAGCTTAATTAACCTGCTCTCAGGCATCATTTGGGGCAGAGCAGCTCTGCCTTCCTCCCTGGCAGCACTAGAGGGCAGCTCAGGCTCGTGGCAACCAAGCATGGTGTGGAATAAGCTGATGTATACAGGGGAAGCTGAAGGGACCAGAAAGTGTTATTTGTCCCATGGGAAATGCAGAAGAAAAGTTATTGTTTAGTACCTGATTGTATCAACATCATATTGAAAATCCTAGTGTATCTAAAGGCAGATGTGAAGGCATCTGAAAGTTAGGAGGCACCAGGAGCATTCCCAGGCTGGAAACGAGCCTGTGGAGCTGGCTCCTGTGCTGACAGCACTCGAGATCCAAGAGCACCCATCCTACGCCAGACCCAGAGCTGTGCCTGGGAAAAGGAAGCACAAATGAAGATAGAAAAGCCATGATAGAGCCTCCTTCACCAGAGGTCTCTGCTGTATGAACCTGCTAACCAGCCCCTTGCACAGCAGGGAATCAGGCACCACTTATCACTTGAATGTTCATATTTGAGTTAGGAACAAGCACCGCCTGAGTGCTAAAAATGGGGTATTTTTCATTGTTGTTCTCTTGCTTCGAACTGAAAAATAAACAAACCCTAGTGTAAGTGTACAGGTAACCAGAATGGTCCTGCTCCTCCAAGAAGTTTCCTAGTGATTTCCCAATGCATGCCAGGCTGTGTGTTAGGGCAAGGGGAAGCCAAGGAGCCAACACGACTAAAGGACGGCCTTGTTATCCCTGTGCAGCCATTGCATCCTCGGGCAATGACTAGACCCCTGGTTGTGGCATCATCAATCATCTACAGAGCTTGATCTGCACAGAAAAGAAAAAAAGGAAAACTGCATTAACTCATTAAAAAGTAGTTTGCTGACCCAAACCTCTCAAGTTTAAAGTTTCAGGTTAATTACTCCTGTTTTTTCTGCCCAGAAGGCCAGACTAGCACTAACATCTATACAATGCTAAAGGTGTATTTTTCTCTGCCAGAAAGCCCTTCCTTTGGGACAGGGCACTACACCAACGGGATCATACCCTTTCTGGCTGTATGCACACTGACACTGCAGGAGGCTGAAGCTCGTGATGAAGTTTCATTCATCCCCAGCAGGATTTCCTCTCTCATGCCCTAGTTTGTCTTCTTGCTTTCCTTGCTTGTTGACATGAACTTAAAGGAGCGAAACCAGGACTGTTCTTTAATCAGCCATGAGAGCCAGCCTTGGACGCACAAACAGCTCTAATTTCACACCCTGTGGTGGGCCTTCAAACTCGTCTCCCACAGACCTGATTTTCTTTTCTCTTCTTTTCTCTTCTTTCCCGCTGCCTTCTGACTGCCACTCTTGCTGCCTACTGAATATGTGATGAACTCACTGCCCCCAGTGCTTATGAAAAACAAGCGGACAAAGGTCTTAGTTTGCAGCCTGACTAAACTCACTTGTGAATAATGTTCTTATCGCAGTGCTAGTGAGCCGGAGAGCAGCTGTGTCTGCAAGCAGGGACACTAAGTGACATTTCGAAGCAGGAACACGCAGCTTGCCCAGCACTTGTGGTGCTCGCAAGACAGGAGGATTAACGACATCCAAAGGTGCTGGTTGGGGTAACAGAGCCCTGCATAAGCTGCAGGATGAAGCTGCCTTACGTGCTGGGAAGCAAGCGAGCAGGAAAGGAAAGCAGGGATCTCCGAAGTGATTCCCTCTGCAGCAGTCACATACACGCCACAGGTTACCCTGCATTGTTTGCTGGAGGAAGTCAAACATGGAAATCTCTTCTGACGTTACATACTGATTAAATATTTTTAGATCATCCAAGATCATAGATAACCATATGATTGAGGTCATTTAAGTATATATTAAAAGATGCTCTACAAATGAAGGTGGATTTCACTGCTATTTAAGAGATCAGCATGCATATTCCCATTCACTGTAATGGGTACCTATGCATCAAAGAACTCCAAGTCATTTCAACAAATTAAACTAAAAATAGGAAATGTTTTCGTGATGTCAGTGTCACAGCAAGACACAATAGAACTTGCTTTAGATCATCCAGCAACTTCCATTTCGCAGCTCGGTACCAGTCTGCTATGGTGGAGCATTTTATACCGCACTATTTTTAGGGAACTGGGAGGTTATTAGGAAATTACCTAAATAAGGAATGTTCTAGTTCTTTCTTCTCACAGCTGCTATTCGTATTCCAAAGCTCCAGTTAAGTCTCTTGGGACACAGACTGAGGCGAATGGAAACATTCTGGAGCAAGAGTTTGTGTGAATTCAGGGCCTACCCAGCGCAGGCTCCTGCATCGCTCCGTGCTGCGCAGCTGCTCCTCGGGGCGCAAGGAGCTGCATCATGTTGGGCAGCCCCTTTAGCTCCTCAGCACTCCTCCCAGGACACACACGTGTCTGTTTAGACAGCAGGGCATGGCAAGGAATGAGCTGCTCTGAATGGCAAGGAATGAGCTGCACTAAAGCAAAATGCCGTCACACGCAGCCCATTTGGGGTTTCACAGCTCATGGTCCTGGGAGCTCTGGGCTCTCCCAAAGAGACCTTTGCTGGGTGCTCCCTCATCCTGGATGGAAGCTGCAGCTCCCTGCCAAGTTACTGATGCATCTCCCTCTCCTGCATCCTTCCAAGGACCTCTCCCACCTCCATGTTCAGGGATAGCTGAGGCTCCACGTTTACTCTCCAGTAGCTAATTCAACCCAAAGCACTGCACTGTGGCCCAAGAGAAAGACACCAGTGAGCACAAAAACTTTCCAGGGATCTGGATTTCACAGGAAAACCCCACCTTGCGTGAGTAAGTCAGAGAAACAGAAGCTCCTTGTTTCTGCAGGTATCTGACTTGGATTCGGCCACATTCATGCCTACAGTAACGCGTCTGGAAACCAGAAATCAAGGGCAGTTACGTTCTGTGCTCATTAACACAAGGAGATTCCAGGCTCAGGCAGCGACGTGGTGCTGCTCTGCCTGGAGTGCAGCCAGGATATGAATCCTGCACTGACCTGCCATGGATTAAACCACTTAGCCAACGGAGAAAGAGGGGGAAACCCTTCGGTTTCTCACTGTCTGTGACTGACTCCCCTCCCGAGCAGCTTCTGATACTCTGCTGCCTCTCTTCCCTCCACACACACTATCCTAAACACAGCAGCAGACCCAGCAGTGCATCAGCACAGGAGCACGTCAGGAGAGGGAACGGGCGGTCCCGAGGCAGACAAGTTATCCAGTACCTGAAGTATTTTGGAGGAATTGGAATTCCCAGCAGCCTCCAAGAATGGGTCTGTACCCACCGGGACTCCCAGCAAGATAATTCCTCTACCCCGTTCAGTATTCCTAAATTTCAGACATGACAAATGTAAACCTTGCTGAGATCACAGCACAGCGTGCAAGGAAGCTACAGCAATCCCGGGATCTCCCCAGGGATCCGGAGATAGCATGAGTCAAAGCAGAGGCGAAATTAAAAAAACAAAAAAACAAACAAACAAAAAAAAAAACAAACAAAAAAAAAAACAAAGCACAGTGCCAGTTCCACAGCATCGCTGTCAAGTGCGGGGTCAGGAAACATCAGCCTGAAGGGCAGGCTGAACGTCCCTCTGCAATGCAGCATTTTCCCCTTCAGAGCCAAGCACAGGCGAACTGCAGGAGAGCCACAAAGCTCCGCACATGCCTTTTCTGCTCCGTGAAATCAGCTGCTTCTGCAAAAGGAAACTCCCAGGTGAATGAGTAAAGCTCTTTCTTGGGCCCCTGCTGGTGGGCGCCCCGTCTCCTCGTCTCGCCTCTACGGGCCAAGAGGCTTCAGACCAAAGCCCGGGTTGCAGCGCGGGCCGGAGGGCCGGGAGCCTTCTGTGGGCCCTCGATCCCAACCAGGGGAGGGGAGGGATTCGCGTGCCCTGATCCTACAGACACCCTAGCCCCTCACTCATCAGCTACATCATTAGTAAAGAAGCTATTAGAGATTTTTAAAATGTTACTTCAGGCAAATTCGTTTTCCTGTGTTTCCAGCTTCCCACACACATTAGCTTGAATTAAAATCTCAGAAACTCATGCACCTCATGCTTGCCTGCAGCTTTATGTGCTCCACCAGGAAGCACGCGTTATTTTCAGCCGTGGAGAAGGGCAAAGCATTAAAGTCTCACAACACCCAAGGAGCCATAACATCTTGCTAGCACAATTGCTTTCATCAACTAGAAAAATACCTCCAAAAAGCAGAAGAAAGCAGTAGTGGTGGCAGCTTCTCAGCCACAGATGCTCTGTGCAGAGCTCCAAGAAGCCTCCCATGAAGCAGGCCAGGAAACTGCCACCACCAGCGGTACTGCCACCAGAGCTGCCACCAGCCTGGCTGCTGCAGATGCTACGGGGGCTCAGGAAGGCTCTCCATCCCCCAAGGCTTAGAGGAAGTTAATTTTTATTTTAAAATTTCATGTAAAAAAATAATATTAATCTGAAAGATAAGCAGACTGATCACTGATGCTCAAAACATTCACTAGTCACCACAGTCTAGATTGTTCTATCCCAGTTCCTGAAATTCTAGGTTTCAGGAAGAACCGATACAGCCAAAAACGTTCCCCTGCCGCCTCACGTCAGGTCTGTCCTGAACAGAGCCAGTGAAAGGCTCGATGGCTCGCTCTCACATCCAGCTTCACCTGAGGAAGGAAGATGAGCAAATATGTAGGAAAGGATCTCATGAGAAACACAGGCAACAAAAAAACCCACACGAATTGCAGCCATTAGAGTCCTCCTGGGCCACGGTGATTGGGTTACAGGCACTGCTCTAATAAGCAATTCCCATTAAGACAGTTGCTAATTCACAATGAAATAAACTGAAGTGCAAGATATTATTAATTCATCTTTCTAATGCTGCCTTTCATCAGAATTAAGACAATGATATCACCTCCACGTAGGACTAAAAGCTATTTCCAACTACTTCAAATACACTCAGAGTAGTTAAAGAACACAAAGCGCTGAAATATTCAGTGCCTTAATAATAGCACTTTTTGCTAAAAGGCCGAGGCAGAAACATCACCTATTTTTTAATGTAAGCTCTGCAAATGTACCTACAGAGGAAGCATTTAAAATAATGGCCCAGTCCTGATTCAATAGAAAATAATCCTGTTGACTTCAAAAGGAGCAGAATTGAGCCTAAAGAGGAAAGGAATCATTTTTCTGCTACGGAGATGGAAAGACTAGTAGAGAAGGGTGTAAGTGAAAACAAGGGAAATGCAAATTAAATATCAGAAAAGAGCAAGCGCTGTGAATTGTGGAAAGAGACTGCCCGGCAGGCAGTGGCTCTCCATGCCAAGGTCTCTTTGGGTGAAGCATCTGTTGGGAATGGCCCCGGCGCTGCTGACCAACGGGGGATGGAGGACGAGAACGTCCCTCCCATCTTCTTCTTCATAACCTTCTACCACCACAGATGGTCTTACCTGACACAGACTACTGGAGCTTGGGCTATTGTAGTGGGGAGAAAGATGTATTGAGTCCCTGAACAAAACTTGATTAATGCCTAAAAGATTAGCTTACATTTTGTATAAACATAGAGCAGTCCAAAAGCCAGAAGGACAGAAGATAACCCTAGGGATTAATTAAACCCTTGCCGATCAGCAATGCTATAGGCCAGACTAGATTTTCCCGGTAGAAGAATTAAATTGTGATACAGAAATGTTTGTTTAAAAGTTATTCTTGAAACAGAAAGTGTGTATTTGTTTTAGACAAAAAGGGGATATGAAATAACTTCTTAACGTTGAACACTTCTAAATCCACCCACATGCAACTAGGAGCCTTAAAAAGCTCTGGCTTGCCAACGTTCATCATGGAGAAAACATTCAGGTGACTGGAAGAAGGCCAGGATGTTCCTTCTCAAAAGGCAAGGAGAGAAAAGTCAGGCACCAAATTGCTAGTTGCTCTGAAAGCACATTCAAGAGGAAAAAAGATACGAGATTCAATTAACAAAGAAGTAAAATACAATTAATGTTAGTCAACATATAAGTGTGGAGGAAGCTATCCACATGAGTAATTGGAGTAACATGAATAACTTTGGTAAGGTTTTTGTTGCCTTACGACTGACTTATGCGTAAAGACCAAATTAGGATTACAGAGCTTCAAAACCATATGCAGTAAAAGTATATAGAACTCTATCAAGTGATTAAGATGCTCTTTAGGTCTCTGCTATCTTTAGATCTCCAGGATAAACACTGAGCAATCTTAACAGAGTCTACAGAGACCAATTCCTGGGGGTCAACCCCTCGCCAATCCGGAAACAAATAGAGAACAGAACGTTGCAGCTTGGCAGAGCAATAAATAGAGGCCGCGGAGCAGCTGCCGCCCGGGGCCACGGGCTGCCAGGGGCCTCCGGTCGCGCTCACGTTCCTCGGAGCAGGGGACGCAAACGCTGCCGCCAGCGGGGGGACGGACGGCACCTGGGGCCGCCCCAGCGCTCCGAGGCGGCGCAGGAGACGGAGGTCAGAGCAGATAAGCAACTCAGCAGAAGACGTGGGGCCAGAAGGGCTAATGTGATTATGGGATGTAAAGAAGGAGGGACTGAACAGGAATATGAAGGAGGTTTTATCTCTATAAACTGAAAGAAAAGGCACCACTGTGCTCTTTAAAATACTGCAACACACTCCAAAAAGGAGATTGGAAATTGCTTAATAATGGGGAAAAAAAATCTCAGCGAGGTGCCTGACCAAATTAATCTGTTTAGTTTATCAAAAGCTGGATCCAGAGGTGACAAATCTCTGTACGTACTGACAAGCAAGGAAAATCTTAATGATAACAAACAGATATGAGCTGAAACTAGACACATTCAAGGAAGTTATAAGGCCTGACTTTTCTTAACAGTAAAGGTAATTAACCTTTAGTTTAATAGTGGTATAAACTGTGCAAGATAGAAGTAGCAAATGTTTAGCATTAAAGGTCTTCAAATTAAACCTGGAGAGTGCCAGGATGATTTGCTTTTGTTAAATTCTGGTTCCTGGCCCTATGTGAAACTCTGTGTTTTATTGTAAGATATGCAACAGGACAACCTACTGTTCTTTAACTCAACAAATTTGTAGTAATATAGAAGAAGACCAGTGAAATCTGCAGCTGCCTGTAACACCTGCCTAACTCCTGTTTCAAGACGAGGGTGGCATAGTACAAACCACTCTTCTCTCCGCTACGACACTCGGTTTTAAGGCAAACTAAAGTTAGGACTTTCCCTGCAGCTCTGAGGACTTACTCAGAGATGTGCACAAAGATGTCCGGGCCCCCGTCCGTGGGGGTGATGAAACCGTGGCCTTTGGAGCGGCAGAAGCACTTGCAGACTCCTGTGTAGACGGGACCCTCGGAAGCTCTCACGGTCCTGCGGGGGACACGCAAAGCAGAGGTCAACGCTGGCCACCCACGCGACAGCTTCCAAGTACACAAAAAAAAAACAGTAAAACCATCCAAATTCTCCCTCTGCAGCAAGTATTTATTCTTGCACACATTTTGCCCATAGCCTTAAGTGAGGAAAGAGATGATTTTCTCTTAATACCATTATGAGTGGAGCAAACCCTTTTAAACAGCTTACGTGGCTAAACAAAGGAGTTACTAGATCAGGACCTTCTCAACCCGCTAGTGCCCAAGTCAGTAGGTTGCTTCTGTGCTGGAAGAGGATTTTATTACGAATCTTCAAGACAAACCTTCAGCAAGTGATTAGGTTGTCACTTCGCCACATGCATCATGGCAATTTTGACATTTTCATAACGTTAAATTTTGCTAAATTGTTAAAATCATTTAAAAAAAAGATTTCTGCTCCTGAAATCATAAATTGTTTAAAAAATATATACCTATTAAAAAAGGGTGAAAAACAAAAGAAAGAAGGGGAGAAGGAATCTCTATTAAATCACTTCATTTTTAGCTCTATGAAGCTCTCCATGCAGCTGGACAGAAAAGCACTCACTGTCCTAAAAAAGCCATTAAAGTTCAATCTTCTTTCAAAAAGATAAATCACTGGGGGGAACAAGACCCCACATCTGCAGTGAACTAAAATTAAACAGTCCCACTGAATAATAAGCCACTACCTGACACATTCATCCCTTCCATAAAACTCTGGGGCCAGAACTGACTTCAAGCTCATTTTGTTTAAAGAGGACACGCATGCTGAAAAAAAATAGAGCTCTCAATTTTCAGGGTTAGCAAAATACAATAAGATTCCTACACTAATTAATAGCGATTAAAGAACTGTGGGAGCCAAAACTCCAACTGTAGGTTGAAGTGCCAGTCTAGGATTAACAGCTGAGAAGAATTAGAGTTCATTATTAACAAAACACTGAGGCAAGCCAGTCTGGAACTGGTTTGCAGGGTCAACCCCAATTACCAAGTCAATTATGCTCTTTTTAACAATATATTTCCATTACAAAATTTAGAGCATTTAAGATTTTTTTTTTTTTGGACCTGACAGCATATAAAATTTCCCTTTGCTGTTGCTGTTCTTTTTCATCTCATTTGGAACGGAAAAGTACAAATATAAATAGGATCAATCTTAATGAAGTCTCAAACTCGTACAGATAATTTTTGCAGAAAAGAGCTCAATAAATTGAAAGATGGTAAAAGACAAACACGGTACCTAGATTAAGACCACTAAAAATAGGCCAGCTGCAGGTTTGAGGTCTTCCTTCCACAGGATTTCGCTCGACACTGCCAGACCTCTCTGCCACAGAAGGATCTGCCAAATTGTGTCAGAAAGGGCAGAGGACAGACTAGAGTTTTGTGCTGTATCCTCAGACCCTGATTCCGAGGCCACTGAGGAGGTTAATGGAAAGATTCATGTTGCCTTCTGCAGGTCAGCACCTCCATGGGGCGATTTGCCCCAGGCACTGGGAGGTTTTTTGCAAGGCCAGAATGAGGTAATAACATCCTCTGTTCTCCAAGAGGGAATAAATTGCTGCACTACAAAGAAATTTCCTTTTTTTTTGGTGGGGAAAGTCTCTGCACTGAACCACTGGGCCACAGAGAAGGAGCAAGAAAGGAGGCTCTGCTATAATGTCACTACCTCAAATAATTAAGAACAGCAGAAAACCTCATGCTCATTTTATATGAAAATCTCACAGAATCAGAGAGACAGAGGTTATACCTTGAAAATAGATACATTATTTTAGAGATCTACTTGAGCAAATTCAGCAAACTTAAGACAGGGATATTAAAGGTGATTAAAGGAAGAAAAAAAAAAATCTTACTGCCTGAGGTGAAGCACCACCTCAGAAAAGGGGAAAAACTGCTCTGAAAAAAAAAATACACACAACTGGGACTAGAAGTCTGATGTGATCAAAACTGCTTGTGGAATAGGTAAGAGTAGAATCCTGATGCATCTTCCAGACATAAGAAACTATCTGACTCCCTTTACCTCTGTGACAGGCCAATCCTTCTTCCCAAAAGGCAGCAGTTTGGCTACGTCTGTGCAATTCCGTTCTTCCAATACTCACGCTGAAAACGTCCTGGTCCGTCGGGTTGGGAGAGGACTAGGAATGAGGTAGCCTCTCATGGGAGACGGGGAGCGCTCTCTCGGCCTGCGGCTTTCGGGCAGATGGAGAGAGCCTGGTGAGGGTGGAGAGGAGGGCGACTGCTCTGATGGGGGCTCAGAAGACATTCCTGACACCTGAGGAAAACCTAGAGAGAGGAGATGATGTGGTTTAGCCCAGGAAGGAAAAGTGCATGTAAAAGGCACACGTTTTTCAGCTTATGCTTTTGCAAAAGCATGACTCATTTCCTGCAGCCATGCATGCAGACCCACTTGCACCAATAGCTACTCCCTGTGTCAGTGAGTTCATTTTTTGGCTTTCTTCATAGCTCCCATGAATGGGAGGCTCCACTGAAGGAAAATCCATGACTTCACAACTGACATGGGGCACCTCGTGCCTTTACTGCTGCCTCTCTCCCAGCAAAGGCTCCCAAAGGAAGCCCCTCGGCCCCAGCCAGGGATCCACGTGTCCTGTGGCCACTCCTCTGGGAAGGGCTATGAGCAGAAATGCTGAGCTAAGGGATCCATCTTCCCTGCTGGAGGTTATTCCACCGTGCGAGCAGCTTCACTCTCTGCTGCTCGGTTATTATCACACCTCTATCAAGAGGTTCTAACACCTTCAGCTCTGCCAGAAGAAAATCATGAGTGAGCAGCTTGCTTCACTTCAGCAGCGCCAGAGAGTCCGCTCACCCTGGCAGAGAGGGGGAAGATGCTACCTGCAAACTGCAGAGATGCCGGCTACCCTAGTGCAGGTGGGAGCCCTTCCCCAGCCCACCCGCCCCCAAGCGCTCTGCGCCTGCATCCACGCTCCAAGGGCCCTTCCCAGCCTTGTCCTTGCTCATTTCCTCCAACAGGAAGGGAAAAGTTCTCTTTTTCCAACGTTTGCAATTTGTCCCTAATCCCGAACGATCCAAACTTCCAAAGACAGGGCAACAAGAGAAGTAAGACAGCACCGCTCCGGTATTACTGCACTCATCCCCTTCCACACTGGAGGGGAAATCTAGGGGAAAAATAAGTCCCACCACACTTTTATTTTAAAAAGTTATATATGTTTTATATGAAAGATTATACAAGTGTATGAGCTAGAAAACAAAAGATGCAGAGATCAGGGCCAAGAAAACATTCAGCAGGCACAGAGCTGACTTTGACACCAACAGCCTCATTCAGCTCAAATCTCTCATATTCACTTTGCACCCTCCTCTGGCCTCCCACACTCCCCAGCCCATGAATTATGGAGCGGATCCTTTACATGACATTTGAGAGCCGCATTCTTCTTGTCAGTGACGAATTGCCATTAAGCCTTCACGAAGTTAAAAACTAAAATTAAAAATGCCTCTCAAGAATGAAGTCACTGGGGAACAAAGGCTTTTGTTTGCAAATGCTCCGGGCGCTGGGAAGGCAGCGAAGCCGCTAGTCCTGTTCCAACGCAGATGTCTCCCACCGCATCCAGTGCTTTAAACTGCTCACGTGTGAATGGTGTTTTAGTCCCTCTAGCCAATGCTCTAGCCGTGCAGTGGGTACAGTTTTCGTCTGGGACTGAGATGGCAACACCAAAAGGAGAGGATTTTCCAAGCTCCCCCTAAAGAGACCTGCTGGGCAGGCTTGTGCTGATGAGGGCTTCTCAGATTTTGAGGAAATTCTGCTATAGAATTGAATTTATTGAATGCATATTTATTATGGTAGGACTGTAAATCTAATGAATTACAGGAAAAATAAATGGAATTTAAACCTCTAAGTCTCTGCTTAATGAGACAGCACAATCTGGGCCCTTAGACTAGTGAAAATGCCCTTTTCACTGAATCACATGGTTTCTTCCTAATCTACATACAAACCTGCTTGTCAAGTCACAAGCAAAATGCTGAGCTTCTCATGCAGCTCCAGCAGTGCTTTAAAGCAAGCCACAAAGCACTACTCTAAAGTGTCCATCACTTTACCCGGCCCTTTGGGAAGGAAAATGTGGCATTTGTCTCTTTTTCTGCTTGTTTGCTCTACTACTCTGGCTATTTTCCCCCCATTTCCCAACCAGTGGTGAGGTAAACCCCACCGACAGAATTCTGGAGAGAGGAGAAATCCTGCCCGGTGTCACTCGCGCTGCTGGGGACACTCGCAGCCAGACACAAAGCCAAAACTCAACCCTCCTCCGAGCAGGGCCGTTACCTGCAGCCATCTTGCAGGTACCTGAACGCGTCGGTAGCTGCAATCACCACCATGCTCCGGATCATCCACTATTTCACATAGGCCAGGGAGTTAAAAAAGCCTTGGGCTCTGTTACGACCCACAGCTCCATGCAGGCAGCCTAGATGATCTGCTTGTCTTGGGGCAATCTCCGAATATCACCCCAATCAAATCCCACAGCCTCTTTTGCAATCCATGGAAAGGGAGTGATTTTTCCCCTCTGAAAGGGCCCTGTAAGACGTAATTCTCACTAGTGTGACTCCAGATGCTCAGGCCACACACAAGGCATGGCAAGTACTAAGCAAAAGAGTGGACAAGCATTTGTTTTTTTCTTTTTTAACTGAAAACCTGACCCATTTTAAACACCCACAGCTCTCAACAAGCACCTCTTCAGCATCAATGAACTACTTCTCCTCTTCACGATTAGCTGAACAAACCCGTTTTGTTCATACACGTCTCCTCACCCACAGAAGTTAGGGGCCAATTTGACACTTAAAAAAAAAAAAAAAATAGATAAACCAATGGGAAAAAAAAATCCACATCTGCCGTATTTTCAAAGCAAATGGCTAAGGTACACACACAAATGACAACCTGAGGTCTCTTTAACAGGTAAATACAGAGCACAGATGACAAGAGATGCAACAGGTCATAAATACTACCAAAATCTACAAAAAAAAAAAAAAAAAAAAAAAAGGCAGGGGAAGTACATAAACACAACCACCATTCCTACATATACAATCACATCGGTGTTCTCTAAGACTACTCCATGTCCCTAAAAATACCTTTAAGACAGTAGTTTTCCTGAAGTTATTCATCCTTCCCAGCACCACACCACACTTGTAAGGAAATACTTGGAAAAAAGCCAAACAGGATGTAGCACGAGGAGAGACTCCAGGAAATCTCTCGGTGTCTAAATGGCTGGATTTTCACCCAGGAGACGCCACCAGCTCTGCAGCTGGCAACACTGCGAGACGTGGAAAGGCCCTTTCCAAGCCCCGGGCTGCCTGGAGGGAGCCCTGCCCTGGGAGCAGTGACACAGCAGAGAAATCTGAAAAATTGTTTGCTTTCCTCCGGGCCTTCCTTGGACTCGGAAATGACGGCAGCAATGCTTTTCCTAGCTGGCTCATGTTTAAATGTCCTGGTTTCCAAGAGTACACTAAGCAGGCGCCTCCCTACCCTTCTCCAGGCCAGTTGTACACACAAACACCTCTGCGCTTCCCCTGTTCCTCTGCTGATTTTTACGAGCTCTGCATGAGAACAGCACAGCTCGATGGCACGCTGCTATCCTCGGCCACATCCACTCCAGCGTCCTTTCCTCAGCACATCCCTGCCCGGAGCCACAAAGCCCAAGGAACCCCACTACCCTGCTGGGCTCCCCGCAGCGTCCCTGATCTCCCGAAGAGCTCCTGGCATCTCTTGCACCCGGAGCACCAGGCCGGGGGCTCTGCCCGCTGCAGCTGCCTCCTTGGCACCCTCAGGCAGCCAGGATGCCCACGCAAGGGTCCTGCAGCCCCGCACGCCAACCCTGCGGCACGGGCGGCGCTTGCAAAACACGCGGCGTTATGAAACACTGCAAAAGCTTCCCCTTTCTGCTGCTTTGCATATGACTAATTCAACAATTAGTGCCTGTATTTCAATTAAGACGAACGCAGAGCGGTTGCAACACGCGTCTGCTGGGGCAGCACGAGGATTATGGTTTAACCCTGGGCTCTCAACCCGGCGCAGGGGAGTGACCCCTGCCTCTCGGCCACGGCTGCAGTGACCCCGCTGCTAATGAGACCAGGACATTGCCCAGCTGCCCCCACGTCCAGCAAACCCTAATTATGAGGCAGGCAGGATAAAGCAAGGAAAAATCCCAGCGCTTGCCTGGGATTGCACAGGCTGGCGTGTCAGCTGCTTTTGGTGACGGAGGAAGGTGACCTCCTCAGGGCGATGCTGGAGAGCAGCAGCTGGGGCAAAGCTGGGCCAGGGCAGGGAGCCAGCACAGCTCTACCTGCACGTCCCCCAGGCCACTACTCACACCGTCCTGGAGCTTCCGTCCACAACGTCACTCTACGTGCAAAAAGTGCTCTGAATATCACTCAGTACTTCCTTAAAAAGCAGGAATAAATTAGACAAACTGAGGTAAGAGACCTACATTCCACATCACCCCCATCTCTTTTTGTTTAAAGATTTGTTGAAACAGAGGGAAAGGGGAAAAAGGAAAACTCTCCCCAGAGAAGAGCAATGAGAGGTCCAGCACGAGCTGCTCCGTGGGAGCAACCCCCAGCACAGCTTGGTGGCGAGGATGGAGGAGGCCCAACCGCGTCCGCGAGGGCCCGGCTGGAGGTGGGTCGTGAGCACCGCAACTGCACGAGCGACGTCGCAGGACAGTGGGGCTGAAGACAGCGCCAGCCGTGCGGGGAGGCCGGTGCCCGGCCCGCGGCCGCTCTGTGGGCAGGTGAACGCGAGGGCTGCAACAGCGGCAACGTTGCCTCCCTGCGCGTGCCGGCTGAATCGCTGCGGGTGACACGGAGAGGACGGAGGCACATCTCGAGCTCCCAGAGCCCGGCTCTGCCCACGCTTTCCCTGGAGCTGAGCTCACAGCGAGTCGCTTAGGATAGGAAGGACTGTTTTCCCCAGAGACATTAGTCTTGACATGCCCCAGGCAGGCGGCAATAAAGGAACAGGGAAATGTGAAGTGAGACCAGCAAACAAAGAAATAAAAGGGACAGTGAAATAGGCAACTTCACCCAATCTGGCTCTGGTGGCCAGATGTGCTTACCTGGGTCAGAATTAAGTACAAAATGAGCACACAGGGGTACTTACTCAGCATCTTCCCAGCACTGGCAGCTTAAACAACTCCTAAGCTGAAGATGGCACCGTGGGGCTGCACAACTTCCTACATTTTTTCCAGCTCCTTCCTGAGCTCATATAATCCTTTAGCACCCACAGCATACTGTGGCAAGGAGCACCACAGCTCAACTGCCAGGTGCAAAAACATCTTTTACTGAAATGTTATTATCCATGCATAAATCTTTTTGCACTATTGAAACATTTTTCTTTCTTCAATCTC